CTCTCCCTCTTTCCCCTTCATTTATTTTACTCTGTTTGGGGTTTTTTTTGTCCTCAGCTCTCTTAAATCTGTCCTTCAGGGATTGTTCTGAAGGTTCATTGTAAGCAGTAAAGAGGCATCTCGAGAGTTGTTACCCTGAAGTTAAAGCACAATATAGTAACAGATAAGGATGCTTTGTATGGCAGTATGGGAGGGATGTTTTAGTGACAAAAGTCTAAGGTTTATGGAGTCCTTTGTTTAAGTCTGCACTTTGCAGCAGTGTCTGTGTATGATGTACAGCTGGTTGTGCCAGCTCAGCCCCTTGGAAGTCCGTGCCGTTGCTCCGTTCATCTTTGGACTGCCTCAGGCTTCCTGTACACCACACAAAAAATGCCTGCATTTACCCAGCAAGAGTGAAGTGCTTGGGAAAGGAGGAGGCCTCACGTAACAAAGGGCTCAGCCTGGTGCATCCTCCTGATAAGGCAGGGAAGAAGAGGGAGAAGAACCTTTGAAATGATCAGTAGTGCCTATGTGGAGGAATCGGGCACCTAATTGCAATTAAGGATCCTGTCTCCCTTCAGTCTGTAATCTCTTTTGTAAACAAGCTTACAAAGCACAGGGAAAGGAAAACAGAGAAGTGACGCCACTGGCTGGGAGAAGATGTTCAGAGAGCATTGATGGGACGTGGCCATATTCTGCAGTGGCAGAAGCTCTCCTATAAGCAAAGAGGTAGAAATGTTTATGTCTGCATTAACTTCGTGTGTGTGAGACTTGGACACCACCACAGATATATCCAAACACCATTGTATCTGAAAAATGTTTCTTCTTTGCTCCTTATTTACTGAGGACGTCTCACCTCCAGCTTTGGTGCAGGCTCCCAGGAGGTTGACTACATTCAGATGATGTCCTATGTGGATGAGGATCTTCAGCTCAGACATTAAAGCCTTGCATTCATTAGTAGTTGCACATTCTGCTTAAGATAAACAGGAAAAAAATCATCTTTACACAACAGGATATTTATAACAGGACACAGCAAGATCCTGTTTATACTTGGAAACAAAACCTACCCAGGTTACTTGCAGTATCTTTGCTTTTCAAACTCTTAAACAGATAATAATTCATCCGCTTCATTGTCTGTTGACCTTTATGAAGTGGAATAGCACTTTATCTTTAGGGTGACTCTTCCTTTCTCTATGGAGGTTATGGAGGGTTACTGTCCTGTAGGAGAACCCTCCTGCCAAAGCAGATACCAGAGAGCCTTTGCAAGGAGTGAACTTTGCGAGCTTAGCAGAGGAACAAATGTCCACTCCATGCAACAGTAGCACGCAGAAGAAGGTGTTCCTCCCTCCATAGTGGTGATGTGCAGTTCAGTAGTACTTCTTTACAGTACCTCAGGATATATTTTCCCACTGTATTGAGCAACTCTCCACTGCACTTGATGGAGGAATCCAACACATTTGTAAGCTGGGTGACAAATGTACTGGAGAATGTACAGCAATATTAAACCTCAGCCCTGTGAGATGTTATTGATCCAAGAAACAAATTTCTCAGCAAAGCAGAGGGGGCCATATATGTGTGTGTAACATGAACTTGACATTGGGGAAGCCCTGGCTACCCAGTCAGACTGTACCTCTGCTCTCTTGTGCTGCCAAAGCTGAGGAAGGCACTCTCAGACCAGAATGCTGGCTTGGTTCCTCTGCCTCCTTTTGAAAAGTTTCATGATGTATTTTAACAAAAGGGGCCATGTCCTGTTCCCTGTGGTTGTGATTTGCATCATGTAACCCAGAACTGACACCAGCTACTTAATAGAAATGGCAGATGATGCTAGAATTACAGTCTGCAGACATCGCCAGAGCCCTTTTTTTTCCTGAATGGATTGACTCACACTGGAGAATCTGTTTTATTCAGGAAAGTGATGAATTATGGGCATGTTAGTTGGGGAGGGACAGGTTAGAGCAGGAGGATGCTGCCTCCTTTTGGGGAGGAAGGGGTAAAATGATGGAGGAACTGTCAAACAGTTTGCTGAATATGTGCAGGCAAGGTAGAGCTGATATGAGGATCAGTTGGGAAGCACAGCAAGGAAATTAATAAAAACCCAGAGCTATCCAGGGTGGTAAGTTTTGGATGGAGAAGGGAGTGTGTCTGGATCAGGGGCTTCTACGATATTTCAGGAATCTGGAGATGGGCATGGAACAGAAGAAACAACAGCAGGAGAGGAGATGGTCTGAAGATCTACTGACTGATGCAGAAAAGGGAGACCAGCTTGGGAGGAGGTGCAGACAGTGGATAAACTGATGTTTGTGACATTTCAGAGTTGGGAAGGAGCAGAGCATCAAGAGAGACAGCCAGCAACAGAAGCCAGACACCATGAGAGAAGTTCCTGAACCATGGCATTGCAGGGGTTAACGGTGTCATGCAGCAGCAATGCAGAGCAATGTGGGCTATGAAAAACCATCCAGTGAGCATCACTTGTTCCTCTGAAAAAAATCCTAAGTGAACAGTTAAAAACCTCCAACCTAAGTTGTCAGTGTGCTGGCTGATGCATTTATTCATAAGCTGTCTGCAGAGGCTTTTGTATGTAAATGTAATATGAAAGAATAGGCTACAAGTTCCCCCTTCCCCAGCACTGATTGGTAAAAGCTTTCCTTAATTTAGTAATTGCAAGCAAGTTGTCTCTAATTCACTCCCTTGGCATTGCTTTTTTTCAACCCCTTGAACTATTCTACATCTGGAAAGGCTGTGATTGGAGGCTTAGATCCAGTTTCAGACTATTTAATGTAATTACATTCTGTAATCTGTTTCCCTCCTAGCCCCACAGACCTGGAAGCTGCTGCTTTCCTCCTCTAGGAATACAAGACTTAATCAGCAGCACAGCATGGAGCCCACTTGTCATTTCCTACACGTTAACATCCACTGTATAACAACTAATTGCTCCCATATGACATACCCACTCCCTTCTGAACACAATGAACTTGGGACTGGTTTGGAGCTGGGAACTGGAAACCTCATTGCCCACAGGTTCCCTGAGGAGTCTTGTGAGGATCTCAGAGAGATATGTACCTTTAAGCATTTTTACGGCAACTGTTTTGCAGGTTGAAGATTTATCAATGCCAAAAGCAGACGCCTCCACCACCTTCCCAAAAGCACCATGACCCAGTGTTTTACCTAGAGAAGCAAGAGTCGAGAATGAGGCAAAGGGGACTTCACGACAGTCTGCATCAGATAGGAGGGGAACATGCATCCTCAGCTGTGCGAGAAATACAAGACTCCAGTGCCCAGGCATGACGTAGACCGAGAGTCAATAGAAGCTGTATCACATATTTGCAGTTTATGGATATAAAGTGTATGATTTATATCCATATGACATTAATGCAATACAGTGTGTGACAGAATAAAGTAGAATACATAAATAAGCATTCAGCTAGAGGCAAGGCTGAATACATATATATGGCCTAAGGGTGAAAACTTTACATACAGTTGTCCTGAAGCCCAGGAAAGTCAGAGTTTAGGTTAAACATAGGACTGTGGAACCTGGATCTCTCATGAATCACAGTCATGGAGACAGCCAGCTCCCAGAGAGTCAGGATCCTTTAACCCTTCAGTTATTGACATTCACTTGACATAAAAGCTAGACCAAATAGAATTTAAAATCATAAAGTTTCTTTATTTTCCCTTGCATTTGCATTTTCATGCCTGTATTACCTAGTGTGCTCTGAGGCTCTGCCCTGTAACGCAGCAGAGGACATTGGGCATCATGGTCTGGCTTTCTGGTTCTGCTAGTCTGACCCTGTGTCCCACCATCGTCTCATTTTTTGTTATTTTTGTCTGTCTTCCTCTGTCTTCCATTTTTTCAGCTAAAGCACCAAGAGCACATGCAAATACAGATATATTCCCTCCACTCATCAGTGCACACAGATATTACTCTTTCTCTATACAAACACAACCTGCTTTTTACATTTTCTTGCTCCATCATCCAGCGAGCTGAGCTGTTGAATGAAGGGATTTTTTCATGATAGCTCTTCACAACTCAAAGCCCCATTCAAACGATTGAGGAGGAATTGACTATTTGATTAATTGATCGATTTCTTCAAAATCAAAGTCACTGAAAGACTGTCACTGTCCAGACTGACTTCTCTTTTCCTCTATGGATATGAAATCATAATTTTGGCAGGGACAGTACCTGGAGGTACCTTTCTTCCCTGTCAGGAGGTTGGCTTCACTTCTCCAAGACAGAAAAAGAGGTGGCAGCTATTTTAAGAGAGACATCATCTTGGCTTTTCTTACCAAATCCCTATCTTTCACCCCCCATTAAGGATGATCCTGAATTCTGTGACTCAGTGCCAATTCTCCCAAAGGATGGGGCACTAAATGACGGGCTGCTTCTTGGCTTACACAACAGATCCCCTGAAGCTGAGGAGCATCAGAAACCCTCATTCTTCACAGCAATAATACCCAAAACCACTCACCCAGGCGCAGCCGGTCTCTTGGGAACTCCCATTTGCTGCTGTCGTAGGGAAGGCGGTCGCACTGCTCGTCAAGAGGCATTTCCTCTGGATCCATTATAATTGACAGGTATCCTGTTTTAATATCTGTGGTGTCAGGCTAAAAACAGGGTGTGGAGAAATTATTCACAGTATTTACACTACAATTCTAATGGGAGAGCTGTCGTCTACAAGACTGAGTGCTGGCTGGGGAGTTCCCTCAATTCCAGACGTAGCTCCAAAATTTATTCTGAACCATGAATGCATCACTTCAGCTTCCTGCCTTTCTTTTTTTATATAGCTGGGAAATAAATGTTTATGTATGCCTGCCACTCATGGGTGCTGGGAAGAGTCACTGATTAATGTTGGTAAACATTCTGAGGACACAAAATCTATCACCGTCTCCTACCTGTATTTATTAAAGGAAATCAGTGCTTTTCTATGGGAACTCCATGAGTTGCACTTCCTGGTGTGTTTTGGCATTTTTATAGTGTTTTGTTTTGTTTTGTAGGCTTGATTCTTCAAAGTTATCCAGTTCATGCCTATTGCTTATTACAATTTAAAATTGAAAGCTGGCAAGAAATGCTGCTTCTAATGCTGCTCAGTGAGGAACTGTGGTTTGATGTGTCCTGTGAGCAGACTTGCATGGGTGTAAAATGCAAAAGGAATTTCACTGTTGTCCACAACGCTGTTAAAATGAGGTCAAGAAGGAAACCATTATATTTACCACTGTATTTACAATAGGAGGGGAAATTTTACTCAAGCATTAGGGATCAGCCCTGGAACTGCAGTTTGGTGAGCTTCAGAGCAGAGAGCTGTGGTTGCCATTCTGTTTACTGTTTGTTGGAGGAGAAACAGACCTAAATTCCTAGGAACTTCACTGAAACTTTACTGTTTTGAGTCACAAAAGGGAGATGAAAGAATAGCAAGACATGAAGACAACATAAGCTGTGTGCTTTGAGCTCATTTCTAGAGCAAACATGCTAGGATGTTTCTTAAAACAAGGCCCCCTTTAATACCTGTGTTTCAGAGAAATCTTACTGGACAAGTGCTGAAATCAAGCCTTCATTTTAGGGGACTTAGGATTTTTTTTGGTTCTCTAATCTTGCAAGCCAGTTTGACTGATAAAGAGAACCATGTGGAACCATGGAAGTGGGTAGAAATCGAAATCGCACGTGATCTCTTGAGAAGTCCAAGGACTATCAGCAGAAATCTTGGCCTGAAATCTTACAGGAACATTTTGCACAGTTTTTCTACCATCTGTCCCAAACATTCAGCTCTAAACTCTGATGCTGCGCACAAACTGGGTCCAATCCCAGACCCTTTGTGCAATTGGGAAGCTCTCTTACTTTTCTCAGTTTCCGAATGAAAAGGGTCAGAAGAAGCCAGAAAAGGGTAGCGGCCAGGCCAGTGCAGACCAAAATGATAACTTCAATGTTGGATTTCTCCTCAGAACCTGTAGGTTAAATGTACAACCAAAATTTAAATGTACAACAATAGTTCTCATGTGTCTGACAAAATATATACATTTTGCCTTAGCGTGGGACTCACCTTGTATTTTGATGAAGGCTGAGGTGCTGTCTTGGCCCATGTCGTTGGATGCCCTGCATTCATAGAGCCCTTCATCGTCCTTTTTCACTCGCTCAATGACCAGGGTGTTATTTTCCATGGATATTCCTGTTGTAACGGATTTTGGTGAATATTATCACAATAACCTACAAATACTTTTAGGAGACAGAGAACTGAAAGTCAGCTCCCATTCATGCAGGCCTGTTACACACTGTTGTTAGGAAGCATTTTAATACTGCACAGGTCAGGGTTTGAATCCAAAAGGGAAGGACATTCTGAGTTTCCGTTTGTTCTGCCTATGAATCCTGTTGTTGTTAACAAGACTACTGCACATAACTTGCCATGTGCTGTGCTGAAATATTTACCCTGAGGTGTTTTTTCCAAATATTTTATTTATGTTTCCATTGGTTGGATGAGTTACATGCTTGTCCCTCTAGAATTATTTATAAAATTTCAGTAGCTATAAAGAGTTGCTCTCAGAACAGTCTGATCTGAATTATGGATGATCCTAGATTTCCTACCTAGTTCAAGATGCAAAATTAAAGTTGCAGGACCAGTTACTGACATGGGATTCTCCATGATTTATAGGAGATCTCAGAGCAGAGAGCCCAGAAGGAATCCCAGGCTCAGGTAAGGGAGCCCGAGCTCCCTCCCCGTGGTAGCACTGGACCTGGGCTGCTCTGTACCAGTCGAGCTGAAAGCAGGTTCTCACGACTGAGCTGTGGGAGATGAAGAGATGAAGAATGTGTCATGTGCCATGGGATGCCCTGGACCCGGCCGTTAGGTGACTGCCCACAGCTTACAATATATTCTGATTGGGCCCCAAGGACATCTGACGGCTCAGCTTGTGTTTCAGAGCCACCCGACAAGCAGGTACACTCTGTCTCAGCTTTGTACACAAGCTGTTGTCTCGCACAAGCAGACTGAACAGCAGCTCGCTACACTCACTGATTTACTAATACTATGCTAATGCATGCAGACTCCCTGGCTGCCTCTACAGGCACGAACATTGCCACATGCAGAAGGCAAGCTGCAGAGCAGGCATTGGCTTGTAACCCGTTGGCAGCTTTGACCTCAAAGCTCATGCTGGAGACTGCTGCAGTGGTCTGATATATTTGGATTTGTGTGTGTTTTTTGCAGTTGTACTCACCATCCTAACCCAGCCACGCTCGCAGTAGCCATAGAGTCTGTGTTTGTGGTGAACCTGCAAGTCCATCATCCTGAGTTATGTGCAGTACCGCAAGCACACTCACCTGATGCTGCTGAAATGGGGTAGCCATTCTTCCTCCACGTGATTTGAGGGTCTGGCGTCCCACTGACCTTGCACTCCAGAATGATCTTGCCGCTGATGTTAACCTCCAGATCCGTGAGGTTTTGTATCACATACGGTGCTGCCTTTGCTACAGTCACAAGGGAAAGTTTTTGGTTTCAGAAAGCACCTCTCACAGCTCTGCCTTCTCCTCTCCTTTGGCCGCCTGCATGGCCTCTCTGGGCTGGAAGTGGCAAAGGTTTGGTTGATGAGTGGTAGCAAAAATCGCCCAAAAGATTATGGGAAGAGTAGGTGAGTTCATTTGGATAATTTTCAAACTGATTAAGCTTAGACTTGGCTTCAGCTCGAACCTCCTTGAGTTTCTCATCCTCTGAAGAAAACAGAGGCAGTGAGTGGGTAGAGCAAATGCAGAGTGAATGCAAGAAAAGAAAGGAGGAGGCAAAGAGGAAACAGTTCGAAGGATTTTGTGTCCTCCATTATGAGTGCAGCTATCTACTTACTACAAAACATGTTAGCCTCCACTTTATGCTCATTTATAAAAGGTACAGGAAAGCAATGAATAAAATCATAACCACAGCACAAAAAATACATAAAACCTGCCTTAAGGACAGAGGCTGATGGTTGTTAGAGCATTTAAAAGACCTTGTTTGTATAGGAGTGGTTTGGAGGGGCATTTTCCCACATGTTCTCCAGAAATGCCTCTCTGACACTTGCCAGACAAATGCCAGACCCCAGAAATCCCAGAAGAATGTGATTGAGTTTCCAGTTCTCCCATGGATGTATTCCCAGTTTAGCTGTGTTTTTCCCATAGCCATTGTGTGTAGGTGTCTGTGTAGGTGGAAATTTGACTAAATGAATAAAAAGATCCGCCAGAGGAGAGAAAAGTGAATCGCCTGAATGCAGAGTGCAGAGAAAGCCCAGTGCCTCTGTGTCAGATGATGCTGACAGGTGACTCTGGTACTGGCTGTGGGGCCAAGCCAAACCGCCAGCACTCTGTGATAGGGGGGTGAGATCCTTTCCCTTCCTCCACACTTTGGAAAGAGGCAGGTGCTTATGCCATTTCTTAAAATAAATCACCTCCCACTCAGGTATCGGAGCTGCGGTAGCCACAGCTGTGTGTGTGGGTGGGCGCTTTGTGATGTGTGCGTATGTGTGTGTGCCTGTGTGGAGGGGGACGGGACATGACGGGGGTGGTGTCTCCACCGGGTAGGAGCTGGCATGGGAAACGTGCTCATTCACTTAAATGGGGATGAAACCAGCACTGGTTTTTACCTAAGTGACAAGTGCTTATGGCAGCACAGCTGTCCCGTCAGCGTCTCGTTAGCCACTAACGTCAGTGGAGAAGCCAATTTGGCAATCACTGTCTAATTTGGCTTCTGAAGGACTCTGTCTTCTGTGCCCTGGCTTGCTGCTGTTTATTTCAATTCTACTCCATTTCTGTGCTTTGTGGTTTTCTTCTTTAGCTAACAAATTCACCCAAGCCAGCAGCACTTTTTCCTCTGAGAAGGCTTAGAGCCGATCGCTCACTTTCCTCGCTGTGAAGCAGAAGAAACTTCACTGATTTTCAGTGAGTTTCTACTGGAAGAAGTGTCCTGCCCTTTATATTCACACAGTCAAAGAAACCAGGCTTCAGGATCTGTAGTGTTACTGCTTTTATGAAAATAAAAGAGTTGAGGGGTTGGGTATAAGTGAGGAAATACTGGTATTACAACTATGTGCATCCCGCCTACCCAGAATAAATGGTACACGTCACTTGATTATAGACTTGACCAGTGACATTAGTGATTACATATACTAGGTACAAATCTAATTGGGTATCTATAGCATCCTGGCAGCTGTAGGTGGGTGGAGTCTTCTCCCAAAGTCACATAGATCTAGGGTGACAGTCCTGATTGATAGAGTGATGCTGTTAGTAACATGATGGGTGAAGGCTTTTCTCCTCGGTCAACTCTATATCTGCACCCAGCATGGAGTTAGGAAGATAAAATGTAGCTGAAATCACCTTTATGTGTAAGGCAAATATTTTATACAAAACCAGCAGGGGCTGGGTGAGTAATCTGGAAGGCCAGGTGGCAATCCACATACAGTAATGCAAAAAAACCCCAAACCAGAGCACAAAGTCTGTATGAGGACAGTCCCTAAGAACCTACCTCTGACGAGGAGCTGTGTGTGCTGCTCCAGCGTGTCAGTGCTGTTGTGCTGGTTCTGGGCTCTGCACTTGTAGAGGCCGCTCTGTTCCTTCGTGACGTTGGTGATGACCAGTGTCAAAGAAATGGAATATCTGTCGGTTTTCTTGATGACGGAGTCGCTGCGAGCCGCCTCTGCGGAGGGGTGGTACCAGGCCAGGTGACTATAGATGTACCTGGAGGCCCGACAGGTCAACCGGACCTCATTCCCCACAATGGTTGTGACTTGTGGGTCTGTTTGCAGCCCAGATGGCACATCTAGGAGGAAGAGAAAACATGTTCACAATTAAGTCACAACGGAGAAGGTTTTTGTTTCCCTGGTTGCAAGTTGGTGGTCAAGTTTCAAAGAACATCCATAATGGAATGAGCCAGTTTTAATGAGAGCCACATTTGCACATGCAGGTGGGCACTGGTGCTCATGAATTAGGTGAATGACTGTACCTCTCACATCCCCATGCTGACCTGTGATGGTCTGACCCTTAGTATTGTAATAATTACATTTTCAAGTAATGAACTGAAAGTTCATAAATAGAAGTAGTTAATGGAGTAAGAGAGTTTAATCAAGAGAGATTTCTATCCAGGTAGACAAATGTGTTCATGAGCTCTTCTCTCTCTATCTGCAATCAGTGCTTGCGAATATAATTGCATAAGAATAGAGAGACCTATTCCCATTTCTCAAAGTAACACTCGTTTTCTTCGTCACTGAAGTCTTCCCAATTCTCTCTTATTTCAACTATGCCAATATTTATTTTCATCACATGTGCCTTGGTGGATATTTGCTTGATCACTGAATGGATTAACTGATCTAATGGTGTATAAGTCCTTGAGGCCTTTATATTTAGCAGAGAAAGATTTTGAGGCACGAGTTCAATCTATCCACAAAAGAGTAAGCTGTTTCTTGATATATTTTTAGTAACTTTTCACTCCAGAAAAAAAAAATCAATTTTCCTGGAGTGGCAAACTGAATCCATTTGAAGACAAGAAGAAATGTTTCTGAGTAGAATGCCAGTCTGGCCTACAGACACATTCCTGTTCCTGCATTGGCCACCAGAGACCTACAATTAAATTGTGTCTGAAAGATAGTATTTTTCCTTTTTATTTGGTTAGTTTCAGTGATGTATCCACCCAGCAGACTTGAATGAAGGTGTGTAAATAACCACAGTCACCTGGAATTATTCTGCTCGTCAGGATTTTCAAGCAGCTGAGCGTTACGAAGAATCCCTTATAAATACTACCAGGTATAGTACAGGGATGGGATACCTTGGGAGGACTTGTTCTGGGTGATCTTCTGAATGTGAACACTGTTTGCAATAAATCTGGGAGATTATTGCTTCAGTACCAAGCTGTTAGTGAGAAGCTTCCTCAAACCCGGGTGGAATGGGTGGTACTTAGGGAAGGGCAGAAGTTAAAGGGGGGTGACTACCCATGGCACTTGCAATCTGACAAATTCCCCATGGGAGCTGGAATTTGGCCAGGGCTCACACTGCAACCTCTTGCAAAAAGTTCTGCTGAAGCTATAGTTGAACATAAATAGTGAGGCTGTTGAAATAACCAATCTGTCTTGTAATAAACCGTACATTATATAAAATACAGAGCCCTGAAGGAGCTTTCAGATATGATTAAAAGTCTCTCTTCTTCACAAGTCATCTGGAATAGAACCAATAAGCTTTGCTTCATGGTTTTTAAAGACTGGCACCAGGAATGTTTTACAAAAGATCCAAAAAAAGAAGAGCCTCAGGCCACAGCTGTGGAAATTGTTATTTTTCTTTTCTTTCTTTTTCATTACATTTCAGTTTACTTTATGCAGTGTTTTGTTAGGCTCTTTCTTGCTTGGTGCTAGCTGTACGCTCAGACTGACTCATGTGATGCATCCATTCTCCACATCTGATGTCCTGTGGTTCCAACGTGTCAAGATGATGCTTATCAAAAAGAGGGAAAAGTCTGAGGCCAGCAGAACGTCTGGAACCAGGAAGAATTTAAGTCTAGACCAGAAGTCTAAAGGGATTCCAGGTAAAGCGATGAGGTAGGAGTTTGGTCATGTTACCCGGGGTAAAACCCAGTGAGCCCCTGCAAATCTGCAAATCCCAATGAATTTGATGTGTTAATTTCCAAGCCTTAAATTGGGAAGGATGCTCAATAGTTTTTGCCTTGCTGCTGGATTTCAGCAGTGCAGGGTTTTTTCTTCCAACTTAACATTCTGGGAGCAGAGGGCTGGCTTATTTTTCTTACCATTTCTTCTACTGACATTTTTTATTTAGCATTTTGAATATTTTTAGCTGGAACCTGTACTGTTCTCTTCCATCTTGTTAGCCTTTCAAGAAGCTCTCTCAGCTCCAATAGAATATTCATTGATTTTCATTACAGTGAAGGAAGAAGGGGGGGGGAAGATCTCTCTTGCTCTGCTCTCTCTTTTCTCCTCCTACCTGGAGTATCTGGAGCTGCGTAACTGCAGCTTTGAGAGCACATTATAAGTCAGTTCATCCCGTAGACTACTTTGCTTACACAATCCTGAACCCAAGCAGTCATTAACTTCCTCTCTCTGAACAGATACAGTGTTTTATAAGACTCCTAATAAGTTGGCTAAAAGAATGCACCGTGGGGCCTTTTCTCTTTTATCAGCAGTCACCAAACATTTGTCTTTCGTATTGTATTACAGTGTAGTAGCCGTGAATGTCACTCTCGACTGTGTGGGATTCCATGGCAAAATAGGGAAATGAGCCATTGGGGGAAGGGAAGAAGTCAGCATAAATCAAAAGAAAGTCTGGCTCCATTTGTATTTACAAGGAATTAATTGGTTTTAATTTCCTGTGCTTTGCACAATAATCTGTGTAATTCAAAACTTCTGCTCTTTCCCAAATTCCAGCCCTGTGCCTGTCAGGGTAGGGGGGTTGCCATCAGGCATATGCATGCAGGGAGAGTGAGAAAAAGAAAGGGTGAGCCCTACCATCTGAAACAGCACAAAGACTTTTCATAAGTCCTGTAAACATGTCAGGAATAAGCAAATTGAGAGTGGCAAGCAGTTGTAGGACAGCCCAGTTCATACATTGTTCCACTATCTGATAGCAGATTTTTATCTCATGTTTGAAATATAATATTTTCTTTCTGGTAGAAATCTTTAACTCCATTTTTCTGAGTTGTTTTTGCAATCAGATAAGCCCTCGAAAAACGTTTTTTATTATTATTTGTTATCCTTATCATAATTAATTTATATTCCAAGAACAGTCAGAGATTTCAAATGGGTGGGACCCCATTTTGTTGTATGTAGTACAACCACACAAAGGCTAGAATTTTACTTACTCTGGACCTACAGATGTATGTAGTTGCCCTTTCCAAGGTGCAGACTGGAGATTAGAAGGTAAATAATACTTGTTCAAGGCGGAAAATACCTCCAGGAGGCATGAGGTCAGCTTTTCACTGCTCTAGGAAGGCTACAGTCAGCTTTGAGCATCCTTTGGTGGGCAACGGCATGGGGCAGTTCTGCATTGCCTCTGCATTGCTATAACTCATCTGACTTAAATGGGAACACTGGTGTCAGAACTGTGTAGGCAAGACAGGCAGGAGACACATTTTGTTCCAGCAGCAGTAAAAGGATTTACACAAAACAAAAATGCTGGAATGAGAGTTCGGGCAGGGCATGGTGGCTAACATGGCTGCTGCATGGCTGAGGAGTTTCTGCTGCCATGAGCAGCTTTAGGAGAGCTGCAGTGGGACACTGACAGCCAGGACATCTGCAGAGAGAGCTCAGACAGCTTCAGGGCTGTCAATAAATGATAAGATTTCTCATCTCCTTGGACCCCTTATATGGTTTAGTTTCAGCGTGATCTCCAAACCCTGTTGACCCTTCACTGAAATGGATTCTGCTGGCAAAGCAATGATTTAAAAATAGATACCAGTGCTATTTCTGGTGTCCGTGGGAGTTTTTGTGGGGGCTCTGCAGTGGAAGAACAAAATGCCTGTTGACATTATCCCATCAGGATAAATACATTTTTCCTAAATGAACGTGGTGGTGATGACAGCACTGGACTGAAGTAAGGCACCTCCCCAGCATGCAGGAGCAGCCCCACAGCACCTGATGAAGTTTTCCTATGGCTCTCTGCTGTGTCCTGACAAAACATTTCAACCCTGACCCAGTGGAACAGGTTTTTGAGGGAAGAAAAGTTTAACCTCTGTAGCATCTTCATAATTTTTAGCAGGGAGAAGTTAATTAAGCCAAAACTTTTGAAAGCAGCACAGGATCCACCAGCTTGCTTGTTGGTAGGAGATAATGGGAGATCGGGTCTTTCAAATCAACAGATTGCTGAATTAATTGTGGGGTCCCACAACTAGCAGCTGTTTTGCAGAGAACAGAGCACTGGGAAGTGCTCCAACCATTTGCTAGATGCTTTTAGATTCAATCTGCATAAAATTAATCAGGCTACAATTGTAAAGTGACCTGCTTAGAGCCAGGCTTTTGGACTTTCACTGTTTGGTGCCTCACAAAGTGTCCCGGATGTCCCTCCAACACGGAGACTGGAGGTAACTCCCAGTGAGGGTAACCTGGCATCTGCTCAGCCTCCTCCAGGTGCACCCAGCAGAAGACAGTGGGTTTTTCATCTGTAAGGCTGACCATCAGCAGCTCTTACGGCAGCCTGGCCCCTTGCTGGAGCAATAGGCATTACTCAGCAGAGGACCCTCATGTCAAGAAAGCCAGCAGCAGGTCACTCTGTGGCTATTTTACCACTGCAACGCGACCTACTTTAGGATCAGGATGGCCGCATTTAGAAAGATTTCACTGCTTTCTAATCCATAAACACCACTATTTTTAAACACAGCACTTTAAAAAGTCAGTCGTGCTCCTTCAGCATCTGCCTCTTCTCCAGAACGGCACAGACTCACAGGCTTTTTTTTCACAGGCAAGAATAGCTCTGTCTTGTCAAGCCCTGTTCACCTCCTGGTCTGTTCTTGTAGAAACATTTCCACCATAATCACTGTCAGTAATTTTGTCCAGTGATTCATTTCCTTCATAATTAAAATTGCATGATTAAAACATTTGTGTCTCAAAACATTGCTGGATTAATCTGAAAATAAAAAAAAATCTAAAATATTAGCTCACTGTGGGGGAAAAACCCTACGTAACTTTATTAGTAAAATAAAACATAGTTATGAAAGATGTGTGGATTGACCTTACCCTTTGAATCTGACCTTATTTAGTTGCTTATTTGGTTGCTGCAGCATTGGTTTTAGTCACCAAATATTACAAATCTGTGAATAGCTTGGGAACATGTGGCTTTGAGTAACCCATCCAAACATAATAGCTGGCAGGGTTCACAGCAGAAACAAACCCACGTGAGGACTCAACACTTGCAAGTGGTGAAGTGTAAAATTAATAGGTGGTATTCAGCCTGCCTTGGACATCTTGAGGACCTCTTATGTCTGAGCTATATCTCCCAAAGTGCATTGAAGGTGTTTTTCCAAAGTAAAGAAGATTTAGGGCTTTGGAAAATAGCTTTTGGAGGCTTAAACCCTCTTCTGTCTCCATATGGTGTTGGGGTAGGATAAAGAAGCTGTAAATAGAGGTGAAATCTTGCCCCCATATGGCATCAGCTTCATTATCGTTGGATGACATTTTTTGCATTAGCACTTCTGTCTAATAAGAACGGTAACAATGTTCAGTGAGCCCTTTTTTGGTTCACCTGATTTGAAATGTGCTGAATTACTTCAGAGCAATGGGGTCAAACAACGCTGGATGCAGAGAGGCAGAAGAGGGCAGAGCACTGCCACGAGTGAGTTTTGCCCTCAGAAACTGCTGCATGGGGAAGGAACCAAGTAGTGAGAATCAGACATTTACCTTCCAGGACACTTCTGCACTCTTTGTTCTAAAAAATGCTATTTTGATTCAAATTCTACCAACCAACATCCACTCATCCATATAGTGAGCACAGAAATGGTTCAGTTTGTTCTGGGCAGGCACTTGAACAAGGCTGTCCCTGGACTTTTTTTTTAAACTCCCATCCCATGTCTCCTAAAAACATTATGTAGGTCTTGATCTCACTACTAAAGAATTTCTGTGTTGAAAGGTTAAGCAGATATTTGTTTGGATTTGTGTTCTTTGGAGAAAGAGCATGTCCACCTCCTCCCTCCTCAAAGGGCACTGGAAAGGCCAATTGCTCCGGCAGGGATCCAATGGCACAACAGCTCCCACTGATACCAGCCCTGGATCAGGACTGAACGTTGGCCTTGCTCCCCTTTGCTGTGCCTGCTGACTTCACTGGAGACCAATGATCTCCTGAGTCAGGGAGAGGCTTCGGGTCTTTGGAAGACTCCAAAGGATTTTGCTTTTGCTAGAGGTATCACGAGGACAGCACTCGAATATCACGAATGTTGCTTTGAGACACAAGCAACGAGACTCAGGGTCTGCATCTGCAGCTTGGAAAGGGCAAAAGGGGCATCAGGTGTGACACTGGATGTGTCCCACTCAGCTGCACTGACACACGACCCAGTCTTGCATGTGAAGAGCCTGGTACTGTGTGATTGGGAGTGCAGGCATTCCTAGAAGTTTTAATGAGCTCTCACATAAAACTTCCAGGTAAATCAGATCATCAGTCTCTGGTTTTTGTGTGATGTCTCGTGTTGTTTACCTGAGACGTAGAACTCAATGCTCCTCTCTTCTTCGCCGATCTTGTTTGAAGCCACACAGTAATAGATCCCTGACGCACTGCTGTTTTCCATGGTTAGTGTGCTCACAATCTGCCAAGCAAGGAGAAAAGGAGTAAAGGCTCTGAGGGCAGAGTCGTGGAGAGGTACATGTTTTATGTAGAAAAACAGTTAACAAAGGAGTTTCTAGTAATGAGTGAAGCTCACAAAGTGCTTCTGCTAGGTTTTTGGTCTCTCATCTCACGTCACCTCAGCCCAGTTAATTCTCTTCCCTTCTCATTCCTAACCCTTTCCCTTCTTTTCTTGCTGTCTCTCCGGTGAAAAACAGAGTCCCCCTTGACATCCTGCCAAGGTCTAGGGCCTTCTGAATGAGGAGTCATCCATGTGGCTCTGTCTTCTCCCTGTCATGGTGCAATGTCACAACGATCCATAGGCCACGGCTTTAATTATTTCTAGTACTTCCTTTGGGCTGCCAGCAAGAAAGCAGGGTCTAACCCACCAAGACAGAGATGTTCGGGCAAGATTACTTTGCTTCCCCTGCAGCCATTCACCTGAGGAACTCTGAGCCCTCACATTTGGAACAAATATCACTTTCTCTGCCATCCTCTTGAAGGACTTTGCGAATCAAAACTTCTAACACGCTCTGGCCCTTTGTCCTTATCTCCAGAGAGTGCTTTGAAGTGCACAAAAACATCTCTGGACTTTCTTTTTAATATCCTAAACTAAACTCACACAAGACATTCCTTTGCTCCTCATAAAGCTGCACCGTGAATGTGTCTGTAGCTGTGTGGGATGTATTTTCAGAGAGTTATTTAAGATATTCTGAGCTTTGGCACTTTAAATCCTATAGGGAAATGAGTTTCAAAGGTTTTGATCCCCTGTGCATTTTACATTCTAATGGGGCACATTTTCAGCAGAACAAAGGGTAAGTGGAAAAATGTCTACTTTTCACGGGCACCAAACACAGAAATTAACCAAGAACAGAGGCGAACAAAATTTAGGGGTGAAAACATGAGACCAGTAAGCCCAGCTCCCTCTGGTGTCCACCATAGAAAGAGCTGTGCAGTTCTGACTTACTTATGATGTGAAAATAGCTCTAAGTTGGATATAAAATCACCCAGAGCCGCGGTTGGCTCCTCCTTTTTCTGTTCCTGCAGCAGTGGGCCTAATGCCATAGGTTATTAACAAGCACATGTTCAGAGCACTGCCCCTCACTTTCAGCAGTAGACACTGACTTTTGAGTTACTGCTGCACCGGGACCAAGATCTTTCTTCTCATGATTACTGCATCTTAGAATTTTATATCTGGGAGTAGAAAAAGCCAATATAAATGTACGCGGTGAGGACAGAAGGGGAGGAATTTGGACAGCTGTTTAACAGCTATTAGTCTTGCTAAGTGACAGCTCTAGTTAGGAAGTCAAGGATAATGCTGTAGAGCCATTTAAAATTGTAAAGGGGAGTGTAATTATCCATTTTGGAATATGTCCAGAGTGATTGGGGTGACACCATGACAATTCTAAAAACTGATGCAGTGCCACAAGCTGCATTTGGCGGCCTGGAGGCAAACACACACATATGCACATGAACTCACACAGATGCTACCATCTCTGAGTATGTAACTCACAAAAAGTCTGACATGGGAGTGGAAAAACAAAAAAGAGCAAAGAGCTATGCTGAGAACTCATCCCAGCCAATCGCAATTGTGTCTAGATGTGAAGGTGAAAAAGGTGTAGATATGATGGTGGGAAACTATCTGGGTACAAATTCTTGGGAAAAATTTACTGAGGAAAAGAGAGAAAGTAGTTTTCTTGCTTGTATGCTTACAATCACTGCTGTGCACTTGGATACCAGTTTGCTGCATGCCTGAGCACAAGAGATAAAGCACTTTACTGTCTTGTCTTAGAACTAGCACCTCCCAGAGTCCTCCAAAATGCGACTTGCAAACTAGAGAAATTTATGTGATATTAGAGCCGGAAATGAAGGATTTTGAGTGATTTTCTTGTAATAAGATGAATCCCTTGAAATCATTATGCATTGGCTTTTAACTCTAGCTGTGTGCTCCTGGCTAAATCCTTCAGATTGGGAGTCCAATTATCTTTTCAGCATCTTAAAGTTCTTGGTTGCCAAACTAACCTAATCCTGGTTCAGTCCTCAACAGAGCGATGCTTTGGAACACACACACGCCATGCCAAAGGGCATCCAGATCCTCCTTCCCTCTGTAAGACCACAGAGATTTGAACCCCATAGTACTCACAATGCTGATGTTTTAGTGGTTGTTCATCACCTCTTGCTGTAGGCAACCCAAGTTGAACAAACTTGAAAAGATGAAAATTTGTGTGTACTTGTTCAAAGTGGCAGGTAGGGATAAGGATTTTGTTCTTCTAAATGCCATCCTTATACTTTCATTGCAACCATTCAAGGAAAGTTTGCAAAAAGAAGCTGAATGAGAATACGGTTTGAACTTGAGCAACCAAGTTTTTAATCTTTTCCCATGATTAACAGTGCAAACTGTTAGCAGACTTCCCTCTCAGTGGAGTGGCACAGTCTCAGCATTTGAGGACCTTTAGTATAGAGTGGAAAAAATGCTGAGTGCTTAGTCCATGCATCTGGCAAAGTATTTCCCATTCCTGGAATCAGAGCCAGGACCAAGAAGTCTGAGGCATGTTGGCATTTGCCACATCTGGGCTCATGAAGTCTGCTTGGGACCACGGGTGGGCTCCTGTCTTCTGCTAAGCCTAAATAATGATGCTGATGTGAAATCTGCAGCTGACTCGAAACGTCGTATTTCTTCAGTGAAATTACTGCTTGTGAACTATTTACAGCCTGGAAGTTTGCACTTGTTATTTTACCTTCCACTGGATGTCCTGGTTCAGACTAAATGATGCGTTAACCCTTGCCAGTGCACTCCAGCCGCGCAAGTGGCTGCACAAACTACGTGGCCATTCAGTCCTTTGCTTCTATGCAGACTGCGCTGGAACCAATGGTAATTAATAACAAATTATTGGCATGTAATGTCTAGACATCTTCCTAGCGGGAGCTGGACTGCGATCTCTGAGTTCACTGCATACCAAACACCACACATCCTTCAGACCAGATTTGATTGCCTGGGTTGAATTTGGAAGTAAAGGGCTCCATTTCCTATTACTTAACCTAAAAGCCACCCAATACTGCGAGCCCAGAGGAGGGATTATTAGCTAATAAATAATTACTATAGAGGAATAAACTAAGTTTAAAACTCAGTAAGAAAAGAAATAAAATGACTGATCTCTGAAGAACAGCTATGACAAGTAAACCGACATTGCTGCTGGGAAAGCCCATAATGGAATAGTTCAATAAAGTCCATATGTCTTGCACGGTAATGTTCCCCAACTGATAAAGACAAGTTCCTTTAGAAGCAGCCAAATAACATTCCACAGCCATATACCATGAGTGTTTTAAGACATCTTGTAGTAAGGACTGAGCAGCAAGACCTTTTTTTAAGCTGGAGCCAGCATGAATTAATATATCTTGTTATTTCTTGCTTTCTCTTTCCTTTGTCTAATCCCTCCCTCCAACAGTTTTAGTTAACAATTCTTCTCTCTTTCACTTCATTACCTCTATGTGGGCAAGGATGAGGAGTAGAAAAAGTGGGTGGAAAACTTCTCAGCTGTCTCACTCTGGCAGAGCTGAGGTGGAGGTGGCTGGAGTGAGATGAAATTATAGCAACTTCATCAGAGTCCCCGCAAAGAAAATATTCAGCTAGCTCTCAATCCATCTACTTGAATGGCACAGGATAACACTTATTTCTATAGCCTGACAATTCTGATCCATTATCTTAGCTCACTCATTCAAAACATGCTAAAGGATGGGCTGAGGACAAGTGGTGAGAGAAGTCTGCGAGTTCACTGAGAACTTCTTGGGTTTGCTCCCATCTCTGGCAGTGGACGTTTCTCACCTTGTAAAAGGAGAATAGTCATTGCCCTTCCTCACAGAGCAGGGCAGAGCTGACTGTAGTTCCATGTGACCAGGAAAGCTGCTGGACAGGGCAGGAAACGGGGGAAAAATGGAGGTTTGAAGTGCCTCTGGAGGAACTGGTATACGTTTATAGTATGGATGGACCAACCATGCTCTGGCCGTAGGGCAGGTGGGTAGGTGCTGGCTGGTCATGAGCAGTGACCACTCCCATGCTTCTTCCTCACACCCAGTGATTGCAGGGAATGGATTTCAGAGGGCAGGGAAGATGGAGAGGCAATTCTTCTGTCCCTGTTACTAGCCAGACTCCCTCAGGAAGACCTGCCAAGGACAGGGTCGTAGTCCATGTGCTCCTGTCGTTGAGTAGAGCCTGAAGCATCTGGGTGAGTCTCCCAGAGAGTGGGTGCTTTGCTCAAAAACCCATCTATGTCTCTGTTTCCCTTCAGAGACTGAGGTGACGAGGCTCGTGGGAGCTCACTGAAATGGCCACTCACACAGGGTAACAGATTTGAACATCCCTACTGAATTGCTCACACACTATTCACCAAACACATCCCACTACTCTAATGTAGTCTTTTTGTTCCTTCAGGAGGTTTAAGCCTGGCATTTTTGGGTCAATTTTCTTGAGTGGTTATGAATTTCACCAGCAAAAGAGATGCATGAGCTTCATTGCAGCAACATCCACATGGCCAGGCCACTCTCATTTATACATGAAAGGGAGAAAAAAGATGAAAAGAAACCCCCAAGGAAGACTGAATTATGTATGGAACTTGCTATTCTTTTCTGCTATGACCTGTTCTCCCAAGATCAGACCAGGTTGTTCAGTTTACTATCAGGAAAGAAAATAAAACAACCAAGTTCCTTGCAACTTGAAGAAAAAATTCAGGCAATTCATGCAATCATGGGTGTTTCATCTGGTGTTAAAAAGCAGTCTTCAGAGGCAGCTACACAGTAGTTTAAATCACAAAGTGAAAAGTTCAATATTGACTCAAAACCAGTGGGAAATGAAACTGGCACCATGCACTTGCCTCAACCACTATTTGACCAAAACTTCAGTGAAGAACATCATTACATTAATGATAACCACATGATATTTTTAGGAATGAGAATCAGCCTTTAGAAGACAGGAGAGGGTGAATTTCACTTCTCTATCTGTGGAATAATAATGGAATAATCATTATGACAAAGATGACCAAAGACCTCACTTTTACGTGCTGGTTTTGTCAAATAGATGCCTAAAGATCTCAATGGGATCAAAGATCACATCAAACATCAATGGTCTGCTGGAAAATTCCTTGCTTGCTGCCCAGCAATCTAAGTTTTAAGCAAGATTCGGGATCTGGTAATTTCTGGGGATTTGTTCCCACACTCTTAGCAGCTCTAAAACGTTAATGCGTTTTTTCATGTGTCGCTGAACCAGCAGGTATGGCTATGGTTCTTTGAGGGTAGACTCCAGGGATGCTGAGAAATCTTAGAGACTTGGTACATTCCACCTTCTGCTCTGACACTCCAGGAATCATTGGAAGGGCTCAAATCACACAGGAAAAATAACCAATCTCGGCTAATCCCAGCTTTGTAACACAGTCAATAAAAGCCAGGCTCCAACATCTTTATTATTTCATCTGGCTGGTGAACGCAGACGAATTACTTACTAGGACACGGTGGGAATGGATTGGGCTGTTTCCTGTCTATTCTATTTCTGGTGGGAATAATGTCTGATAAAAACCAAGGAAAAGTCTGAAGGCTCTGAGCTTTCATCAGTGTATTTTTTTGAGTTATGTTCTATTATCTAAAGACTCCACTTAACACAGATAGCCTTGGACTTCAGAAAGGGAGAAGGAGAGGAATTGTCTGCTAATGTAAGCGGGGAGACAAAGTGCTGAAACTTGAGATTCATAAAATCTAGTTTTATGAATTTGAATCAATCTTAATCAGGACATAAAAATCACTAGGAAACACCTAAGAAAGTGTTTTCAACCAGTGGATCAGCAGGAGATGGAAAGCATGAATACAGTATAATTTGTACAATTATGTAACTTGCAAAGAAGTATTTTTATGAAACTCTAATAATGAAATATGTAAAAGCTTAAGTTAAAGGGTTGTGGGCTGAGCTTTTGAACATGTCTAAAAATTGAACATTTGAGGATGCCTGGAGTCTGCAGAAGAGCAGGGATGGCTGTGGAGGGCAGAGTGAGGAGGTGCCTCGGGGCTGGTTGTGATACTCAAAATGTGAGCAGCAGCAAAGCTCTTGGGGAGCAAGAGGACCCTTTTTGAGGACTGTGTAGGGTCCTTGTATGGTTCCCTCATGGTCCTCAGTTCCAGTAAGCATCTCCTCAGCTGCGCCTCCCTTCTCAAGTGTCCATCGTGTTGTGCAGGCAGGAACTGACTGGGTGTAGTTGCGGTGGTGTCCTCTGGAGTTGAGGAGCACTATTTCTCCTCTGCTTGCTGTACCTTTTCTTTCTGGGTGCTAGGGGAAAGGTGGAATGTCCTGAATGGTGCACCAACATAGACTGAAGATGTGTCTGGAGTTTCCTATGGGATTCAAGAGCTCCCTGACAGCCCTGGAAAACCACATTCGGAGACTGCAGCCAAACCCCATCTGAAGTCCACCACCAGACTGAAATGTCGTGCAGTTGCATATTTGTCTCAGCAAAGTTGGTAAAAGAAGAAATGGGAATGGTGTACATGTGCATGAAACAACGAAAAATGTTTCTAATTTTGTGTTTTGGGGTGTCTCACTATCCCAGCGTGTGGGACAATTCAGCAACCAACAGATTTTTTTGAGTCACAGCAACTGTGAAACTCTTCACTTTTATATGGCGACTGACATAACTGTGAGACTGATCATCAGACGTAAAGTAAGTTCTTGGACACCAGGTCATATATTTAGACAGACAGTATAGATGGAGAGAAACAGTAGCCATGAGAGCTGCAAAACTCTTGTCAGTCCATGCAGCAACTGGAAAGTCTTAGAAAAGGAAGAAACTTTGTAGGTACGTGTCACTGACCTGCAGTTTTTACAAGCAGTTAGTGCTTTGTTTTTACCTAAGTTGTTTTTACCTAAGATCTAAAATTCTTAGAGAATACATCAAAAATAGAGCTTAAAGGGCACTATGCCATCTAAATAAAGCCAATTTGTAAATATCTTCCAAGCAAGGGGAAAACTCAGGAATGAAATGTGAACACTGATTTTCTCCTTCCCAGACCAACGTCCATGTTTTCAGAGCTCTGGTTTAGATTATGTTTAGAGCTGGAAAGTCTCCATGAGAAAAAGCAGATGGTTGAGGCACTGATCCTGCCAGATGCTGATTTAGTCTGGACCCAGTCCAGAAGAGCACTTTAACTTCATGCTTAACTTTAAGCATGGGAGTAGCCCAAGAATTATCATATGCTTAAAGGCAGACCAGGATACGAACTGCAGCACTCAGCACCTTGCAGGATTAGGCACTAAACCTTCCGGAGCATCCACCTTGCAACCTGTAGCTGCAAAACCACTCCAACAGGGCTAAAACAAGTGTCTGAGCCAGACCACAGCATCTTCTCCAAGGCATAGCCAGGACTCTGTGAGTCTAAAGCAGAGCAGCCACAGCAATTTCTCAAGGATTAGCGTGGATGTGTGTAAATGGTATCACTCGGTATCACCGCAGGTACCTGGGAGGCATTTAACAGATATTTCATGGCTGGAATCTTTGCAGTTTCTGCAGGAGGTGTGCTCCCAGTGCTGTTTGGAGGGGGAAGCAGGCAGGGAAGTGTACAAGGAAGGAGGTCTTCCCACCTTCATTGGCTCGGTAACATGGTTGTCAACCCAGTTGGGTAAAGAAACATTGATAACTCCAGACAAAACAAGCAGGTACTGCAGGCATGGGCACACGGAAAATCAGGCCAGCTATCTCTGGCCATGTAGGCCTCTTAAATTACAAATCTGTTTAATCTCCGCTACTGGGAGAGTGGGTAAGGTAGCACAAAATGCTCTCTAAGTGCTAAACATTTTAATGAACTCAGAGTCCTTATCAGTTGTGTGCGCTTCACAGGACCCCTCTTGCACTGAACCAGCCTTACGCTTTCTCGAGACTAAGGGAGACAGAGAGGTTTTTGACCCAAAACTCTTTGGAGAGTTTTAAACAGGGTATGTGACATCATTGCCAGAATCCCGGCATTTATAAACAGCGGAGATCTGAAAATGATCCCAGGGCTGTGGAATTTCAAGCATGCAAACAACTCACAGCAGCTTGGGAACTGCGGGCAGAGAGCTCGGTGTGAGTCCCCTCCTAAAGCCCTCTGCTATTCCATGACATCATTGCTCAGACTTTCACTGGATACATACCTTTCTTTTATCCCCGTTCCTCAGGGGTATGTTTTCAATGCTTCCGATCTTGTTGCCTATGAACGTGTTCTCCCGAACCACAATTTTTTGCCCACTGGGGTTGCACCTGGAGGTAGAAAAGCAAAGGTGGTGTTCAAGAACCCAACTCACTGCAGGTAACCCAGGGAGGCATTACTAAAGAGAGAGGATGCCATTCTTTGACAATTGTCTTAGGTCTTCAAACCTCTAAAAAGCTTTTGCTGCTGGAGATTGTTTCCTCTTTGTGAAATTACTGTTTTCCTTCATTGCAACATTTCAACATTATTTACAGAGTACCTTGGCAGAGACAAAGATCAGTACATGACCAGCAAGGAAACCCCCCAAACTTTCTTTGGAAATAGAAAATGCTGGACAACTCCTTACATCACGTGAGTTTAATCTGGCTTATGTGAGTTACACTCCAGCTCAATGCAGTTGTGGCTTTTGAAGTGCCCTTTTAGCACTTGCAGTGCATTTCAGAATTCAAAGTGCCATTCAGAACTGGGGAGGTGAATGTTGCTGAGCGTGTCTGTCTGTCTATCTGCTCAGCTTTCCAACACGAAGTGCAGGCTGAGGGAGCAGAATGGGTAAATACTGAGATAAAAGTAGCAGAAGGTGACCGTATCTCAGTCAGTTATCAATCTGCAGTTTTGAGTTATGAGCAAAGAGCAGTGTATGTAGCACGTCATGAGGAATGGTATCTCTGCACCATCTGAAGTAAAAGCCATTTCTGCCTTCTTTAACTACAACCCTTGGAATAGATGAGCAGAGATAGAGTAGAGCAGAGATGCTTAGGAGTGCAAAGGCTCCAGCAAGGCCAGAGCTCCAGGCATCCTGGCTGCCGGCGCTGCCAGTTCAGCTCCAGAGCTGCCAGTTCAGCTCCAGCCCAGCATGGTGAAGTGTTACAAACTGTGACCCTGTGACAGCAAGATCGTGAGGTCAGTTCAGCTCCACAACTGACTGCCATCACACCTTGCACAAGTCTTCGCAATGCACAATGGGATGATGTCCTTATGACCTCCTTTGTACCGCGCTTCCCACTGCCAGTCCCAGCGGTCTCTGAGCCCACCGGAGCAGAATAGGATTATAGAAGGTAAAATGATGATGAATTTCTATCGGTGGTGACCAAGGGCCGACGTGGCAGAAAACGAAGCCATAAATCAGCCATGCCTTTGCCAAATCCACACAAGACGCGTGGGTAACACCCTCCCTGGGTCAAGAGAGGGTTGATAGCTCTCAAAAGAGCCTAATTAGAAGATGTCTTGAGTGACTTCCTGCAAGACACAATTCTATCTTGAGGATGAAGGGAAAAGGCTCAAAGGAAGCAAATCACATCACAGCTATAAGGAACAATGATGGTGTTTGGGGATTCAAAGTGCACTGGTGAGGAGGGGGGAGAGAAAAAGAGAGAGAGAGGAAGTGAGATAACAGAAGGAAATGGGGTCTGTGTCATTTCCCACAGGAATCCTCCTACAGCTTCTGCTGGAAAAAGATAAGGCTGCTCTGAAGGCCAGAAGAGGTAGACTTGACTCTGCAATTGTATTTAAATTGATAAGATCAGAGAGTCAGAGGGCCAGAACAAGGGTTATATGAGGTCTTTTGCCACCAGGTCACTGGTTCGAATCTGGCTTAATTCAGCATTCATAACCAGTTCTGTCTCCCTGGACAGAAAAGTCTGGAAAAGATTTCAGATCATCTCTGTGGCTTTCCTACAGAATGCATAACCTGTTTCCTTATGGCATTTCCATTCTACTCTTGTTGAACACCTCCAATGCTGCAGCTTGTGTGCTCTTCTGCTGACTTGCGATGCCAACAGCCCTACCTAAGCCTACAAATGTCTGCTGTTTCACTCCTGCAGGAGCAGTGTAACCACCTCAGTGAGGTAACAGGCTCCTTCTTTGTGCAGGGACACAAGGTCACTTATGAGACCCAACCTGAGACTACATCACCCAACATCACTGCAACTGCTGCAGCAGAGAACCTGGGAAGGGAGCTTCTCTCTGTGATTTTTCCCCAGTCTCATGGCTTGCCATTCATATCATTTGGAAAGGCATTGAAATGGTGAGAAAATAAGGAATCATCCAGCAAAATTTTCATTCTTGCTTCTTAGACCTGCCTGCATTTTTTAATGGATGGAAAACCTGACTTCAACTCTCTCATTGAAGGGACAAGTTGAAGTGCAGTCAGAAATGTTACACATGGCTCCTGTATGTCCTCTGGGGCTACCAGAGGAAGCATTCAGACCTCAGCTAAGATGTCTCTCTATAGATCACTCTACTCATATAACAGCAGAAACAAAGAAATTGTCTACTTGTGTAAGGCAAATCTTGGAAGGCATCTTGTGTTTTAACTTGCTGCATTCCTCTCTGATGGTTTTGACCCAGTGACTTGCTTCTGTATCTTCACACTTCAGGCTGTCTCCAGACGTTAGCAAAGAAGGGTCCTGAGTGAGGTGTGAAGGCCTGGTTACCTCTTCCAGCTTCTGCAATGCAAATGCTGCCACAGGAGCCCATGCTCAGTGTGTGCTGCTGAAGACAGCCCTTAGGAAGTGACATAAATCCCATATGGCAACTGAGTGAAGCCAAGCCTTTGGCAGGTTTGCCTGACAATAGCTCTTACAGGGGAAAAAAGTGTCTTACCTCTACACAGAAAGCACCTGCTTTGTCTTTGTCAAGCATGGAGGCTGCATCCAAGAGGTGTAAGAAAAGATATTGGTAAGTCAGAAGAGCATTGCTGGTCAAGTTAAAGAAAATTCAAGCCTGGTCTTTAGTCTCTTTATACTTATTTGACAGCAATCTGGTAATATAGAAGGTGCTTGTATCTCCAAGATCATACACAACTAGATGTCTGCTGGGTTCATAACCCTTGAGATCCTTAGGTGGGGAGTCATTGCTTGTGATTTTTAAGTAAATAAGATGTACTGTACAGAAGATGTACTGTACAGAAAAACCAACTTCAAACTACCAAACAGTTTTGCTACATGCATAGGAACGTTGACTTACAGTGTGTCTGTGAGGCTGCAGGGCTGCCACTTCCACTCGATCTTCGGGTCAGGGTTCCCACTTACGGTGCACTGGATTTTGTGTTTGCTTCTCAATTCCATCCGCACAATCTTATCAAAATCAGTTTCCTTTTCATAGATTTTGGGTCTCTCTAAAGGAAAAAAAAAAACCAAACAAAACAAAAACAAAGCATCACCAATCAAATAAATTCAAAAGAGCAAATTTACATCCATAGTCACGGTCTTTTTTCCATGAAAGCTTTTGAAGCCTTTCACTGTCACTGAGAGATGATTTAGTGAGGGTTGCTGAAGATGTAGGTCAATTACCAGCAATACTGAAATTATACATTTGCAGGAACACGGGAATTGGTTGTGATGTTTAAGAAAATGCACTGAAATGCTCCCACATTCGTCCTCACTGCTTTCAAATGTTGTCATGGACCTGCTGTACTTCTGGAAAATGTATGCCATGAAACATCGATTGGTAGGAGACTGCAGGGTCTAGGCGCTGTGGGCAAAGCAGCATTGGACTTCTGGTGTCACCTCCTGAGAGGAACCTTACCAAACAGCTGCTGCTCTGCAATGGTGTTACCATTGTGCAGGTCCTCCCCAGGGTTTTGGGGGAAAAAGTCTTTTTTATGTAAAAACTTTGATGTCCTTTTCTGTTTATGTGTAGTGTGCAGTGGATGAAAGGGCGAAGAAAGCAAGGAAGAAGTGGTGGGGAGAAGACACTTGTAGAGCAGTGCCAAGAAATTCTCACCAATAGAGAAACCATTAAAAATGTCACTGCATTATTCGCATGTGGAGGGGTTGCAAGATCACACCCTTGGACTGGAAATCTCACAAGAACAAACTTTTGTGTGACACTTTCGGGGCTGCTCGTAGCCAGCAGGAAAGAAATGCTTTGTCCCATCTACTTCCAGCTCCCACAGGAACATGTGAAAATGAGAAATAATGCTAAAAAATCCCCAAAATGAACTGAACTTTTCCTAACCTCGGAGAGGGTGGGTTTGAGTTTGGGGTGAAAGCACGGGCTCTTCCCTTATGCAGACAGCTCTGCCCATCCCTGGCCGTATCTCTTTGTCTGCTTCTCATAACAGGAAATCAAACAGATTTATTGGTCAGGGTCCCTCTGTGGAACACCTCTGCACAGCCAAGTGTGGCTGCTTTACACTGAGGGCTTTTGACAAGTTAGGAAGTGAATGTAGATTAAATTTCTATTTTTTGGGTTAACTTATTTTTTCTGCTGTCAAGGAGGCCCCAGATATGTAAATATGAGCTACTGCCCACCTCATCAATCTTGAGCCCTTTCCCTCTTATTTTAAATAGCTTTTTTTCCTTCCAGCCCTCTACTCTTAGGAGAGGACTGACCAGGCTGATCCCATGTCTCGGTGGGATCCTCGCTTTCCATTTCTCATGGTGGCCAAGTCAGACTTTGAAAGATCTTCTGACCTCATCATTGCCCGAAAATATATCAGCATTTCCTTCTCCACCACATGAAAGGAGCATTGACTGCAGCTGGTTCAGCCACAGCCTAACTCCCATGCTGTAGTAAAACACCAGCTGCTTTAAAGAACCTTCATTAGCTCCTGATTAGCATTTCACTCAAAAAACCCAATGACAGACCTTGTTTTGCTTTGTTCTTGTGTTCCCTTTCGCTTTTTTGATCCTCTTAGGCTGAGTCCTGTTTCCCCATCTGCCTGCAGATGCTGGATCTACCCAGCTCCAAAAATCCACTCCTCACTCCTGTGTCCCTTCAGACAGGGAGAGGGGTTGTCCTTCGTGAAGGAGAAGAAGGGAGCAGACAGGAGAGTACTTCAGACTGTGGTTGAGGTCTCTCAAACTCATCCTCATCTGTAACATGGACACAGGGTGTCCTGCACCACATTGCTCTGGGTTACGAAAAAGTATCGCCCATCAAGTGCTTTGAGATTTGCGAGCAATCCACAGGACAGATTACGGGGACTAGTGTTGAATTTCCTGGTAACTGGCATCTCATTTCCCATCAGTAAATTAATTCTGATCATAAAAATAATTTTGTAATACTCCCTGGAGAGAGAAGGACATTTTTCATTATCTCAGACATTTTTCTTTTCAGTCTTAAATCTTGTGTTTGGCATGTCTGGACTGACCTCAAAAGCGTGATTTTCACTTGGAGAAAAAGACTCTAAGTTCAGTGTGAAAGGTTACTCAAGTGTTACGTGAAAGGTTACTCCAGTGCTATGTTTTCTGAGCTGTAAGAACAAAGCTTTACACACCCGGGGAGGGAGAGAGTACGTCTGTGTGGTTTTGTGTGTGTGAAAGAGTATGGGGGACAAGGCTTGATTACAATCTTTTAATATTGTGAGATTTTTCCGTACTCTTGGTGAAAAGATGAACATGTTGACTACCATTTAAATTATCCTTCTAAAAAAGAAATAATAATTTTAGCTTGATCTAATTAAAATAAGAACATACATGAGTGACAAATGGATTCTTAATTCAACAATTACTTTACTGCATGGCACTATTAAATATTACTTGAAAATGAAATTTAGACAAAATGATTCATCACTTGAAATAATTATTATTTATGAAGCTTAAACAATTATTTTCTTAAAACTTGAGGGGCTGGCTAAAAAATGCCTCCCCATCATTTGTCTGTGCCTCATAACGCAGCTAGTGTGGGGCTGTAGCTAATCATGGACATGAGACTCACTGAAGTGACACAGAAATTGAAGCAATTTTTACAAGTGTCTCTGTTTCTCCCTCTCAAGGCTGTACTGGTGGTAGGTGTCATCCTGCAAATGACTTTTACAGTAGAGCACTGCAGTGGGGGTAAGGCCCTTCCCCAGTTTGCAATGTGCCTTCTCTGTGCTCATAAGGGTGTTGGCGTTGACTCCAGGTTTGTGATGGGGAACGAGGGATGCTCATAATGGGGATATTTCTTGGGCTGAAAACTTTCCAAACCTCTGCACGCTGAGGAGATCTTTAAATACACTTCATTCCTGACCCGACATATCCTTCGCTATCCCACTTCTTGCTTCCCACTACCCCTGCTCACTCACAGCCGCTGCCTCCCATCCCTTGGCCGTTGCCCTCCCCAGGCTGAGTTTTCTCAAGCAGAAGCCAAACAAACCTTAAAAGCTTTCTCGTCTCTGCCTGCCTTTGGAAAGCGCTGTTCAGATGGCTTTAAATGTATCGAAATAAATGGATTTTCGACCTCTCTGGCTTAAAGTGTGATTGTGTCCCCAACTCACTTTGCAGAGGTGCAATTGCTGGTGTGAGAGCTGACCTGAATAACTAAAGACTTTGCTGCTGCTGCGTTGTGAATTGCAATCCAAAAGCAGTTCTGCTCACTGTACATTTCAAATTGATCAGCATTATGTAAATCTCACCTCACTCACTGGTGTTATCTTTAGTTCGTGGCATTAGGAGTAAATCATACGTAGAAGGATTAGGACGTGAGCCCTCTGGCGTTACCCCTTTTGCAAGAGGCTCTTCTGTCTCTAAATTCAGTGCGGATGTTATTGCGGCGTTGCACACTTGTCACCCAAAGGAGCATCCAAATATAGAGGACAGCACACAGCAAGTTTCTCTGCCTTTTTTAGAGAAACTCTGCTTTACTTTCAGTGACCTCTGACTGAACTGCTGTTCACGTACCTTCCCCACTACCATTAAACTGGGTTTCCAAAAAACTTTTCCCATTAAGCACATCATTAAAATAACACAGAGTGGGTCAGGGAAGCATTTACTCTCAACCTTAGGTACTTTGCTGCACATGGGGCTTCACTAAAACGATTGATAGAAAGGCAACTTGTTTTCTGTTTATCCTTTCTGTTTCCCAAAAGCAACAATAATTTGCACTTAAGAATCTTTCATCGGTGTCTGTGTGGCACTTAATGGAAATCCAAGCTCTGCAAGTTGAGCTAGGTGAATATTCTGTATGGTGGACAGGAAACGCATTAATACACGTATGGACTGGTCAAAAATATGGGAAAAAGAGGATGACATTTCCCCTAGTATAAAAACACTTTGTGTTTGGCTGACAAGTGATCCCTGTGGTTTGTTTTGGGGTTTTAATTTTTTTTTTATTAAAAGGAAAGAAAGGAAAAATGAGTTAAATGACCTGAAAACAAAACTTTTGTTTCAGGCGGAGCAGAACATTGTGTTTGACCCTAGCTGATTTTGTCTGGGTGGATTTCTTTGTTTCCTTCTGTTTGCTGTTTTTTGGTTTATTTTGCGCAGCACCACATAGGAGGCTGCTGTGAAGTGGGTGCCCGGCATTGTCCCCACGGTACCTCTGAGGAAGCAGATGCCAAGATGAAATGAGCGGCCAAAACCTCTCCGTGAGTCAATACCACAGCCAGGAATACAATTAGGATCACCGATTACCAGTCGCCTGCCTAATCTCCAGCACACACCCCCTGCTGCTCCACTGGCACCCACTGGGATGGACTGGGAATGCCAGTGGGGTGGAAGCAAACGGAAGGGAAACCGTGCAGTTGGGTACTGTATGAACAGATTTCAAGGAAAATTGCAGGGCACTTGACCTACCCTACAGGGAATTTGGTTGCTAAAATGTCAGTGCAGCTTAGTTTGGGCTTTTTTCTGACCTTCTACTATCTATTTGGATATATCTATCTTCACCTTGTAGGAAGAAAACTGTTTTTTCCAGTCCTGTACCACCCTTCCCATCTGTCATTCAACCCTGATGCAGCCAAGCTTTGGAATAAAAAAGGGTTTTCTCTTGTCTGTCTCTCCCCATCTTATTTTTTGTGACTAAACAGAGTTCAAAAGCAAAGGCATAACAATGAACTGCTTAATTTTTAGCAGAGCAGGCAATTCTCTAGGATTTTGGGCTCTGCCCCCTTTGCCTGCTTTTCAGAAGGGAAAAACAACAGTTAATGTACCTGCCGGCTTGGCTGAGAGGGAGCGTGGAAACCATGCACTGCCACTTTCCCCCTTCCCCCCAACTCTGGGTTTTAAGGGCTGTCAGAGAGAGATTGCTGCTGCAAAGACGTGAGCTGAATGCCTCAGATTTTTCTGGCAAACTCCAGCAGGCCCCCACCTCCCTCTTCCTAAAATTACTTTGGCTACTTCCAACAAAATGAAAATAGCTCATCTGACTTTTTCATTAGGGGCTCTCCTGGGAGCGCACCGAGGCCGAGCG